CTGATGGCCTGATTTTTATGAAGGAAGAAGTAAAACTTAGTCACCCTGAATTTGATCCCATATCATAGAAGCTTATTAGAAACAACACACAGTGATGCACTATTACGAAGTGCATGAAGTTCTTCATGGTTAACTAGCTACCGTAGGCAGCTTGTCTTTCGTGGTTTTGTGTCAGGAAAGTGGGTCGAAACGCCTCTTCGTAATATAGAAACAGATAGAAGTGACAAATTATTTTCGGTCGTGTCATAATCAACATATAAAGCACTGAACATTGAAACTGAGCACAGCTGGCAGTTTTTGTTTTAATCCTCGTGTCAATTCATCAGTTCCGTTGGCACAAACATGGCTAGTCGTTGGGGTCGTAATGGTAATGATTATTTCATATCTTTTTCTTATGTTTCCGTTTTTCCTCGCTGATACTAATTCTTAAAAATGTTTTCAGCACCTTATGGTGGTGGTGCAGGTGGTGGCAGTAGTGGCGGTGGTGGTTATATGGGTTCTGGGGTTGTAGGTGTGGGATTTTACATGGGCGGACCTTCGCCGAACGATCGCAGACCCTACAATGCTACACCTGTCGCTAAGCCTTTCTATGGTGGATATCGAGATGATAATTACAACAGACGGTCAGACCGACGAGATGATTTTCGCGGCGGTAAGCGTGGTCAGCCAAAAGGCCGTAGTCCAGAGAAACGTTATCATGATCCTGCATCTAACCAGCGTAAAGACCATAGACCTTTCGGGAAACGGCCATCGTCCTTCGCACGCTACGAGGTGAAGATTCCAAAAAGTCTTTTCAATATATCTTCGGCGTCACTGCCTGACCTTCGACACCGGTATCCTCGTTTAAACATATCAGCCGACTTCTACGAGTGCACGTCCTCATGGGTGGATTCGTTTCCCATGCACAATCCCTTTAAGCTGGGAAGTGGGACTGATTATCATGTAAGTTTCATCCTTATATTGTGATATGTCCGCCAGGTTTTCCATCGTGATGTTGATTCTCCCACTCAACCAGACTCCACTCTCCTGAACCCTCCTGATGCAGATTATTCCTACTCAGCGAGGGTCATGCTAATGGCATGCCCTCAACTCGGTGAGTTGTACAAGAATACTTGTAGTATGGCGGATGACGTCAGTGGAGCTGACAAGATTCTACCTGATAAGAGCATACACTTTTTGGTTGGTGGTCGAGCGAAGAGTGAAACTATGGCTCTTGGTGGACCCTGGTCACCAAGCCTAGATGGACTCGATCCTCAGGGAGATCCAAGAACACTTATCAACACAGCTATCCGGACGTTCAAAGGCTTGACCGGACTAGATTTGTCTTCTTGCACAGAATGGTTAATTGATTTGAATTACCTATTCACACTTACTTTATAGGGTCAGATTTATGGAGATCAAGTACTATCGCATGCCTGATACGAAAGCTCCAGCTTTCACGGAAGCTGAGGAAGAAAGAGAAATAACTTCGGAGCGTCCTGAGGTCGTAGTATTCTTTATTCCGAATGCGGCCCACCTAATTCCTTCAGAAGAAGAATGGGCTAAGACTAAAGAGTACTACAATTCTGCGCTTCAGAAGCTGTTGACTGACGAGAAGGCTGAGCAGGACGGGGTGGTTGAACAGCAAGACGGCGAAACAAGTGCTATGGATGCCAGTATGGAGGAGTCTGAAGAGGCCGGCACACGATCAGATATGGAGCCGACCCATTATTCTAAGCTCGATGTAAATAGTCTGAAGGTAAGTAGTAACTCATCCATTCACACTCTCTTAGGTCAGTGACCTACGAAACGAGCTAGCAGCTAGAAAGTTGGATACTAAGGGTTTAAAGGTTAATCTAGTGGCCCGCTTACAGAGTGCTTTGGATGAGGAGAAGAAGGCAGATGCACCGGAAGAAATGAAGGTTGATGAGGATTCTAAAGGTAAGCACTGCCATATCTTGTGCTCCCTTCTGCATTAATTAAGAGTTGATAGGACCACAAGAACGGCTGTGGATGTTTTTATTGTGATAATTAACCAAACAAATGGTTACAAAACTCATATCGCCCTTCTTTCTGCTTGTATTCAGCCGAACAGACTCCGAATAAGATCGCTTCGCCGTCTGCGACGCAACCAAAGGATGATTCAAAGGACCTCTCTGAGAAAGAACGCCGGCGTTTGGAACGCCTCTATCGTCTTGGTGATAAGCCAGCCATCGTTATCCATCCAAACAAGTCAGCTAAGGGGGGTCGATTCGACTGTCATCGTGTTTCGTTGTTCTCTCTCCTCGACTATCGTACCGAAGATCAAAAAGAGCACAACTTTGAAGTATCCCTGTTCGCTGAACAGTTCCATGAAATGCTCCAGCGAGATGCAGCCTTCACAATTTTCAAGGCGATTCACGATGCGCCTGAGAAAGAAACTAAACCTGAACAGGATGGAAAGTACGACGATATTCTACGTAACGTAGATGTATTTAGGTCACAATTATTAATTAGTTGATCTGGCCTTCCTGATTGTCGTTGTCCAATAGCTGGCGCGTCATGAATGGATAGGCATAGATATTTATTGTTCATGTTTCGCCTTTATTTTTTTCTGCACATAACACAAGCTTTTATTTTGCAGGCTCGAAAACGGCATCGATTCTGACGAGCCTGATGCCAAAAGACGCAGAAATGACAGCCAAAATGGCCACGACGAAGAGGAGGAAGTCAAGGTGCGTCGCCTTAGGCGCACCGTGAACCCATCCCTCCTGTTTGCCTTCACCTACCTTGATGTGAGCCGCGCAGGGTATATACGCGAACATGATTTGTGCGAAATCCTCCACCTCCTCGGGCTAAGATATTCTCGTACTCAGGTGAGTTGACTTTATAATATACTAGTGACAGTGGTGTAAGCGTCATGTCATACTCGACTGTCACTGCCTTCATGTTCAGTCGCTGTGGCTGCTCTAGTCAGCAGTCGTTTGAATGCATGTCAAATCCCAGTTCTGATAGTTGCATTGTTATGCATGAAGTGCGGTCAAAACGGTGTGTAGCAAAGGGCGACACCTCGCGGGACGCCCAGCCAGCAAAGTCCATGGGAATTTCGTTCAGGTGGGCTAGGGCATACAGCTGGAGTACTGCTTTGTATTTGTATTGCATCCGGCTTGTGTAGGAAGATTTTGACTCCAAACAAGTTTTGCTTTTGCATTTTCACCAAACTTACCCTCACATGTGTCTTTGTAATTCACAGATGCGCAAACTTGTGGCCAGAGTAGCTACACGCCGCGACCACGTGTCATACCACAGCTTGACAGACAGTGACATTGTCGAGGGTGATGACAAGGATGTTGTTTCCATGGATTTAGCAGAAAAAGAAGATGTAGAAGTAACAAGAATGCTTGCACTTGGTAACCGAGCTCTTTTCGACATGACAGTTCCAGAGACACCTGCAAGGTAGGTTCGATTTTCTTTATAACACTGTCAAAGAATTGTTCTTGGGGGTGGGGATTCAGAACAAATGTTGAGACGTATGGAGCAGGCTGAGGCTATTAAACAGAAGCTAGAATTCCAATTCTTCCAGATAAAGGATGAGCTAGGTATGGGCATGCGTTTCATCATACTTTTTTCTAGAGAAAACGCGGGTCAAGGTAAACTCGTTCAAAGACACAGAGGATGAGCTGAGGGCGGAGAATCGTGATTTGACCTCTCGCCTGAAGACCGAGCAGAAGCTAATGCACGAGTACAAAAGTCAGGCAAACACTTACAATCACTTGCTGCGTTCAGCTAGAGATCAAATGGATCGTGTTCTTTTTGACATCAACAAGCAGTTCGACAAAGAAAAAGCAAAACGAGAGGCTGAAAAGGCTGCAGCTGATGCGGAGAAGAACAAGACAGAGGAAGAAGCTAACAAGCAGAAAGTGGAAGAAAAGGTAATTCATGATACAGGCTGACTAATTTTTGCAGGATGATAAAGTCGAAGATGGCGCAAAACCTGAAGAGAAAGAGTGGGAAGTCGTTGACGCTGTCTGATCCTGGATACTGCATTTATTGTTAAGCGTTTGGCTACTCACTTTTCGTATGTACGTCATTTAATTAAAACTCAGTTTCGCCATGCACTTCAAATACACTGCATAAGTATTTTCAAACCCAGACTTTTGACAGCTCCACAGTGGTCTTGTTTCTAACAGGTTTCGTGGTATGTATATGGGTATGTTCCGAGTTAGGTAGGTGTTGGTTACCTCTGTACAGCTTGGGTCGACGCCGGGTAGCGTGCTGGGGATTATTATAATTATACTACACACTGAATTGATTCACCAAATGAAACAGTGAGGAAAATTAATCAAGTAATCGCCTTCTCCAATGCACTGCACTTGCAACAATCATGAGAACCACTTACATATGTTAGACAAGCCTAGCTAGCAGTTAGCTAAGCACACAGTGGCACAATCCTAATAAAGTTGAGATATTTTTTATACATTGAATCCACATAACCCATATAACACTGCACCAATCAGTGCAAATATATATTAAATTCACTTAGAGATAACCTTTCAACTTACGATAATTCCTGTCCAAACACAAACACGGTGAAAGGCACATCTACATGATAACTTCTTTTCCCACAGAAGGTTCCGTTAGCATTCACAGGTGATTTCCATGTGCTGATAGCATTCACATCTCAAATAGTACTGTTCTTCACACGAAAATACTGAGACGTGAAGTATTCATTAAGTGATACTATGCCGAAAGGTGCAGCTTCTACATGAAGTAAACTATTTGTGTAGATGACATTACTCTCCAACTGTCCCATTATGCTCAATATAGCGATATTTTGAAAAAGCCCACCTGAAACACTGATCATTGCAACCAATGTGCTAAGAGTGCTAAGTGCTAAGTGGACCTCATGACGTGGACATCAACATGACATGTCAGGAAATGAGAATTCCTATCAATCCGGAAAACACACAAGACAAATTTATCAGAAATTATTGACAAAAGACGTTTGCCGAGCGGAATTTCAACCAACATGCTGGATAAGTCCAGCCCGATTATTCAGTGGATATTATGGTACGCGACTGATGTCCTCCAACGTATATGTACTTTTTTGATGTCAGACGGCAAACGAACGATAAGCAAGGCAAAACAAGAGCGATATTCTACCCATTGAAACCAGAAGTATATTTGGACATTGTTATCGCCAAGTCGATATGCGTGCTTAGTTAACTGGGGATCACGCAAACCAGCTGAACGTGACGTGACAGTGCGGTAGGAGGAGGGCGATTGGCTGAGCGTCTTCAGCATAACGAGTCCACTAAAACATCGAAGTCATCACCTAACGTCGAATATCGATGTAGCCCTAATCTATTGATTTGTCAAAAGTCTCACTAAAAATATTCGTCGTTGGTATCTCCTGAGTCTGTACTTCCCAATATCCAATGAATCATCCACTTTTACCCCGTGAAATAGTACCCATCAGCATCATTTGAGAGCCTCTTCAGTTTTGAAAACTTGGATCGAGGGGATTAAAAACTGCCATGTATGCGTTGTGATAGGACACCTAGGCCACACCTAAAAGACTGGAAAACACCTCATCTATCAGAGTGTCTGATGGCCTGATTTTTATGAAGGAAGAAGTAAAACTTAGTCACCCTGAATTTGATCCCATATCATAGAAGCTTATTAGAAACAACACACAGTGATGCACTATTACGAAGTGCATGAAGTTCTTCATGGTTAACTAGCTACCGTAGGCAGCTTGTCTTTCGTGGTTTTGTGTCAGGAAAGTGGGTCGAAACGCCTCTTCGTAATATAGAAACAGATGGAAGTGACAAATTATTTTCGGTCGTGTCATAATCAACATATGAAGCACTGAACATTGAAACTGAGCACAGCTGGCAGTTTTTGTTTTAATCCTCGTGTCAATTCATCAGTTCCGTTGGCACAAACATGGCTAGTCGTTGGGGTCGTAATGGTAATGATTATTTCATATCTTTTTCTTATGTTTCCGTTTTTCCTCGCTGATACTAATTCTTAAAAATGTTTTCAGCACCTTATGGTGGTGGTGCAGGTGGTGGCAGTAGTGGCGGTGGTGGTTATATGGGTTCTGGGGTTGTAGGTGTGGGATTTTACATGGGCGGACCTTCGCCGAACGATCGCAGACCCTACAATGCTACACCTGTCGCTAAGCCTTTCTATGGTGGATATCGAGATGATAATTACAACAGACGGTCAGACCGACGAGATGATTTTCGCGGCGGTAAGCGTGGTCAGCCAAAAGGCCGTAGTCCAGAGAAACGTTATCATGATCCTGCATCTAACCAGCGTAAAGACCATAGACCTTTCGGGAAACGGCCATCGTCCTTCGCACGCTACGAGGTGAAGATTCCAAAAAGTCTTTTCAATATATCTTCGGCGTCACTGCCTGACCTTCGACACCGGTATCCTCGTTTAAACATATCAGCCGACTTCTACGAGTGCACGTCCTCATGGGTGGATTCGTTTCCCATGCACAATCCCTTTAAGCTGGGAAGTGGGACTGATTATCATGTAAGTTTCATCCTTATATTGTGATATGTCCGCCAGGTTTTCCATCGTGATGTTGATTCTCCCACTCAACCAGACTCCACTCTCCTGAACCCTCCCGATGCAGATTATTCCTACTCAGCGAGGGTCATGCTAATGGCATGCCCTCAACTCGGTGAGTTGTACAAGAATACTTGTAGTATGGCGGATGACGTCAGTGGAGCTGACAAGGTTCTACCTGATAAGAGCATACACTTTTTGGTTGGTGGTCGAGCGAAGAGTGAAACTATGGCTCTTGGTGGACCCTGGTCACCAAGCCTAGATGGACTCGATCCTCAGGGAGATCCAAGAACACTTATCAACACAGCTATCCGGACGTTCAAAGGCTTGACCGGACTAGATTTGTCTTCTTGCACAGAATGGTTAATTGATTTGAATTACCTATTCACACTTACTTTATAGGGTCAGATTTATGGAGATCAAGTACTATCGCATGCCTGATACGAAAGCTCCAGCTTTCACGGAAGCTGAGGAAGAAAGAGAAATAACTTCGGAGCGTCCTGAGGTCGTAGTATTCTTTATTCCGAATGCGGCCCACCTAATTCCTTCAGAAGAAGAATGGGCTAAGACTAAAGAGTACTACAATTCTGCGCTTCAGAAGCTGTTGACTGACGAGAAGGCTGAGCAGGACGGGGTGGTTGAACAGCAAGACGGCGAAACAAGTGCTATGGATGCCAGTATGGAGGAGTCTGAAGAGGCCGGCACACGATCAGATATGGAGCCGACCCATTATTCTAAGCTCGATGTAAATAGTCTGAAGGTAAGTAGTAACTCATCCATTCACACTCTCTTAGGTCAGTGACCTACGAAACGAGCTAGCAGCTAGAAAGTTGGATACTAAGGGTTTAAAGGTTAATCTAGTGGCCCGCTTACAGAGTGCTTTGGATGAGGAGAAGAAGGCAGATGCACCGGAAGAAATGAAGGTTGATGAGGATTCTAAAGGTAAGCACTGCCATATCTTGTGCTCCCTTCTGCATTAATTAAGAGTTGATAGGACCACAAGAACGGCTGTGGATGTTTTTATTGTGATAATTAACCAAACAAATGGTTACAAAACTCATATCGCCCTTCTTTCTGCTTGTATTCAGCCGAACAGACTCCGAATAAGATCGCTTCGCCGTCTGCGACGCAACCAAAGGATGATTCAAAGGACCTCTCTGAGAAAGAACGCCGGCGTTTGGAACGCCTCTATCGTCTTGGTGATAAGCCAGCCATCGTTATCCATCCAAACAAGTCAGCTAAGGGGGGTCGATTCGACTGTCATCGTGTTTCGTTGTTCTCTCTCCTCGACTATCGTACCGAAGATCAAAAAGAGCACAACTTTGAAGTATCCCTGTTCGCTGAACAGTTCCATGAAATGCTCCAGCGAGATGCAGCCTTCACAATTTTCAAGGCGATTCACGATGCGCCTGAGAAAGAAACTAAACCTGAACAGGATGGAAAGTACGACGATATTCTACGTAACGTAGATGTATTTAGGTCACAATTATTAATTAGTTGATCTGGCCTTCCTGATTGTCGTTGTCCAATAGCTGGCGCGTCATGAATGGATAGGCATAGATATTTATTGTTCATGTTTCGCCTTTATTTTTTTCTGCACATAACACAAGCTTTTATTTTGCAGGCTCGAAAACGGCATCGATTCTGACGAGCCTGATGCCAAAAGACGCAGAAATGACAGCCAAAATGGCCACGACGAAGAGGAGGAAGTCAAGGTGCGTCGCCTTAGGCGCACCGTGAACCCATCCCTCCTGTTTGCCTTCACCTACCTTGATGTGAGCCGCGCAGGGTATATACGCGAACATGATTTGTGCGAAATCCTCCACCTCCTCGGGCTAAGATATTCTCGTACTCAGGTGAGTTGACTTTATAATATACTAGTGACAGTGGTGTAAGCGTCATGTCATACTCGACTGTCACTGCCTTCATGTTCAGTCGCTGTGGCTGCTCTAGTCAGCAGTCGTTTGAATGCATGTCAAATCCCAGTTCTGATAGTTGCATTGTTATGCATGAAGTGCGGTCAAAACGGTGTGTAGCAAAGGGCGACACCTCGCGGGACGCCCAGCCAGCAAAGTCCATGGGAATTTCGTTCAGGTGGGCTAGGGCATACAGCTGGAGTACTGCTTTGTATTTGTATTGCATCCGGCTTGTGTAGGAAGATTTTGACTCCAAACAAGTTTTGCTTTTGCATTTTCACCAAACTTACCCTCACATGTGTCTTTGTAATTCACAGATGCGCAAACTTGTGGCCAGAGTAGCTACACGCCGCGACCACGTGTCATACCACAGCTTGACAGACAGTGACATTGTCGAGGGTGATGACAAGGATGTTGTTTCCATGGATTTAGCCGAAAAAGAAGATGTAGAAGTAACAAGAATGCTTGCACTTGGTAACCGAGCTCTTTTCGACATGACAGTTCCAGAGACACCTGCAAGGTAGGTTCGATTTTCTTTATAACACTGTCAAAGAATTGTTCTTGGGGGTGGGGATTCAGAACAAATGTTGAGACGTATGGAGCAGGCTGAGGCTATTAAACAGAAGCTAGAATTCCAATTCTTCCAGATAAAGGATGAGCTAGGTATGGGCATGCGTTTCATCATACTTTTTTCTAGAGAAAACGCGGGTCAAGGTAAACTCGTTCAAAGACACAGAGGATGAGCTGAGGGCGGAGAATCGTGATTTGACCTCTCGCCTGAAGACCGAGCAGAAGCTAATGCACGAGTACAAAAGTCAGGCAAACACTTACAATCACTTGCTGCGTTCAGCTAGAGATCAAATGGATCGTGTTCTTTTTGACATCAACAAGCAGTTCGACAAAGAAAAAGCAAAACGAGAGGCTGAAAAGGCTGCAGCTGATGCGGAGAAGAACAAGACAGAGGAAGAAGCTAACAAGCAGAAAGTGGAAGAAAAGGTAATTCATGATACAGGCTGACTAATTTTTGCAGGATGATAAAGTCGAAGATGGCGCAAAACCTGAAGAGAAAGAGTGGGAAGTCGTTGACGCTGTCTGATCCTGGATACTGCATTTATTGTTAAGCGTTTGGCTACTCACTTTTCGTATGTACGTCATTTAATTAAAACTCAGTTTCGCCATGCACTTCAAATACACTGCATAAGTATTTTCAAACCCAGACTTTTGACAGCTCCACAGTGGTCTTGTTTCTAACAGGTTTCGTGGTATGTATATGGGTATGTTCCGAGTTAGGTAGGTGTTGGTTACCTCTGTACAGCTTGGGTCGACGCCGGGTAGCGTGCTGGGGATTATTATAATTATACTACACACTGAATTGATTCACCAAATGAAACAGTGAGGAAAATTAATCAAGTAATCGCCTTCTCCAATGCACTGCACTTGCAACAATCATGAGAACCACTTACATATGTTAGACAAGCCTAGCTAGCAGTTAGCTAAGCACACAGTGGCACAATCCTAATAAAGTTGAGATATTTTTTATACATTGAATCCACATAACCCATATAACACTGCACCAATCAGTGCAAATATATATTAAATTCACTTAGAGATAACCTTTCAACTTACGATAATTCCTGTCCAAACACAAACACGGTGAAAGGCACATCTACATGATAACTTCTTTTCCCACAGAAGGTTCCGTTAGCATTCACAGGTGATTTCCATGTGCTGATAGCATTCACATCTCAAATAGTACTGTTCTTCACACGAAAATACTGAGACGTGAAGTATTCATTAAGTGATACTATGCCGAAAGGTGCAGCTTCTACATGAAGTAAACTATTTGTGTAGATGACATTACTCTCCAACTGTCCCATTATGCTCAATATAGCGATATTTTGAAAAAGCCCACCTGAAACACTGATCATTGCAACCAATGTGCTAAGAGTGCTAAGTGCTAAGTGGACCTCATGACGTGGACATCAACATGACATGTCAGGAAATGAGAATTCCTATCAATCCGGAAAACACACAAGACAAATTTATCAGAAATTATTGACAAAAGACGTTTGCCGAGCGGAATTTCAACCAACATGCTGGATAAGTCCAGCCCGATTATTCAGTGGATATTATGGTACGCGACTGATGTCCTCCAACGTATATGTACTTTTTTGATGTCAGACGGCAAACGAACGATAAGCAAGGCAAAACAAGAGCGATATTCTACCCATTGAAACCAGAAGTATATTTGGACATTGTTATCGCCAAGTCGATATGCGTGCTTAGTTAACTGGGGATCACGCAAACCAGCTGAACGTGACGTGACAGTGCGGTAGGAGGAGGGCGATTGGCTGAGCGTCTTCAGCATAACGAGTCCACTAAAACATCGAAGTCATCACCTAACGTCGAATATCGATGTAGCCCTAATCTATTGATTTGTCAAAAGTCTCACTAAAAATATTCGTCGTTGGTATCTCCTGAGTCTGTACTTCCCAATATCCAATGAATCATCCACTTTTACCCCGTGAAATAGTACCCATCAGCATCATTTGAGAGCCTCTTCAGTTTTGAAAACTTGGATCGAGGGGATTAAAAACTGCCATGTATGCGTTGTGATAGGACACCTAGGCCACACCTAAAAGACTGGAAAACACCTCATCTATCAGAGTGTCTGATGGCCTGATTTTTATGAAGGAAGAAGTAAAACTTAGTCACCCTGAATTTGATCCCATATCATAGAAGCTTATTAGAAACAACACACAGTGATGCACTATTACGAAGTGCATGAAGTTCTTCATGGTTAACTAGCTACCGTAGGCAGCTTGTCTTTCGTGGTTTTGTGTCAGGAAAGTGGGTCGAAACGCCTCTTCGTAATATAGAAACAGATGGAAGTGACAAATTATTTTCGGTCGTGTCATAATCAACATATGAAGCACTGAACATTGAAACTGAGCACAGCTGGCAGTTTTTGTTTTAATCCTCGTGTCAATTCATCAGTTCCGTTGGCACAAACATGGCTAGTCGTTGGGGTCGTAATGGTAATGATTATTTCATATCTTTTTCTTATGTTTCCGTTTTTCCTCGCTGATACTAATTCTTAAAAATGTTTTCAGCACCTTATGGTGGTGGTGCAGGTGGTGGCAGTAGTGGCGGTGGTGGTTATATGGGTTCTGGGGTTGTAGGTGTGGGATTTTACATGGGCGGACCTTCGCCGAACGATCGCAGACCCTACAATGCTACACCTGTCGCTAAGCCTTTCTATGGTGGATATCGAGATGATAATTACAACAGACGGTCAGACCGACGAGATGATTTTCGCGGCGGTAAGCGTGGTCAGCCAAAAGGCCGTAGTCCAGAGAAACGTTATCATGATCCTGCATCTAACCAGCGTAAAGACCATAGACCTTTCGGGAAACGGCCATCGTCCTTCGCACGCTACGAGGTGAAGATTCCAAAAAGTCTTTTCAATATATCTTCGGCGTCACTGCCTGACCTTCGACACCGGTATCCTCGTTTAAACATATCAGCCGACTTCTACGAGTGCACGTCCTCATGGGTGGATTCGTTTCCCATGCACAATCCCTTTAAGCTGGGAAGTGGGACTGATTATCATGTAAGTTTCATCCTTATATTGTGATATGTCCGCCAGGTTTTCCATCGTGATGTTGATTCTCCCACTCAACCAGACTCCACTCTCCTGAACCCTCCCGATGCAGATTATTCCTACTCAGCGAGGGTCATGCTAATGGCATGCCCTCAACTCGGTGAGTTGTACAAGAATACTTGTAGTATGGCGGATGACGTCAGTGGAGCTGACAAGGTTCTACCTGATAAGAGCATACACTTTTTGGTTGGTGGTCGAGCGAAGAGTGAAACTATGGCTCTTGGTGGACCCTGGTCACCAAGCCTAGATGGACTCGATCCTCAGGGAGATCCAAGAACACTTATCAACACAGCTATCCGGACGTTCAAAGGCTTGACCGGACTAGATTTGTCTTCTTGCACAGAATGGTTAATTGATTTGAATTACCTATTCACACTTACTTTATAGGGTCAGATTTATGGAGATCAAGTACTATCGCATGCCTGATACGAAAGCTCCAGCTTTCACGGAAGCTGAGGAAGAAAGAGAAATAACTTCGGAGCGTCCTGAGGTCGTAGTATTCTTTATTCCGAATGCGGCCCACCTAATTCCTTCAGAAGAAGAATGGGCTAAGACTAAAGAGTACTACAATTCTGCGCTTCAGAAGCTGTTGACTGACGAGAAGGCTGAGCAGGACGGGGTGGTTGAACAGCAAGACGGCGAAACAAGTGCTATGGATGCCAGTATGGAGGAGTCTGAAGAGGCCGGCACACGATCAGATATGGAGCCGACCCATTATTCTAAGCTCGATGTAAATAGTCTGAAGGTAAGTAGTAACTCATCCATTCACACTCTCTTAGGTCAGTGACCTACGAAACGAGCTAGCAGCTAGAAAGTTGGATACTAAGGGTTTAAAGGTTAATCTAGTGGCCCGCTTACAGAGTGCTTTGGATGAGGAGAAGAAGGCAGATGCACCGGAAGAAATGAAGGTTGATGAGGATTCTAAAGGTAAGCACTGCCATATCTTGTGCTCCCTTCTGCATTAATTAAGAGTTGATAGGACCACAAGAACGGCTGTGGATGTTTTTATTGTGATAATTAACCAAACAAATGGTTACAAAACTCATATCGCCCTTCTTTCTGCTTGTATTCAGCCGAACAGACTCCGAATAAGATCGCTTCGCCGTCTGCGACGCAACCAAAGGATGATTCAAAGGACCTCTCTGAGAAAGAACGCCGGCGTTTGGAACGCCTCTATCGTCTTGGTGATAAGCCAGCCATCGTTATCCATCCAAACAAGTCAGCTAAGGGGGGTCGATTCGACTGTCATCGTGTTTCGTTGTTCTCTCTCCTCGACTATCGTACCGAAGATCAAAAAGAGCACAACTTTGAAGTATCCCTGTTCGCTGAACAGTTCCATGAAATGCTCCAGCGAGATGCAGCCTTCACAATTTTCAAGGCGATTCACGATGCGCCTGAGAAAGAAACTAAACCTGAACAGGATGGAAAGTACGACGATATTCTACGTAACGTAGATGTATTTAGGTCACAATTATTAATTAGTTGATCTGGCCTTCCTGATTGTCGTTGTCCAATAGCTGGCGCGTCATGAATGGATAGGCATAGATATTTATTGTTCATGTTTCGCCTTTATTTTTTTCTGCACATAACACAAGCTTTTATTTTGCAGGCTCGAAAACGGCATCGATTCTGACGAGCCTGATGCCAAAAGACGCAGAAATGACAGCCAAAATGGCCACGACGAAGAGGAGGAAGTCAAGGTGCGTCGCCTTAGGCGCACCGTGAACCCATCCCTCCTGTTTGCCTTCACCTACCTTGATGTGAGCCGCGCAGGGTATATACGCGAACATGATTTGTGCGAAATCCTCCACCTCCTCGGGCTAAGATATTCTCGTACTCAGGTGAGTTGACTTTATAATATACTAGTGACAGTGGTGTAAGCGTCATGTCATACTCGACTGTCACTGCCTTCATGTTCAGTCGCTGTGGCTGCTCTAGTCAGCAGTCGTTTGAATGCATGTCAAATCCCAGTTCTGATAGTTGCATTGTTATGCATGAAGTGCGGTCAAAACGGTGTGTAGCAAAGGGCGACACCTCGCGGGACGCCCAGCCAGCAAAGTCCATGGGAATTTCGTTCAGGTGGGCTAGGGCATACAGCTGGAGTACTGCTTTGTATTTGTATTGCATCCGGCTTGTGTAGGAAGATTTTGACTCCAAACAAGTTTTGCTTTTGCATTTTCACCAAACTTACCCTCACATGTGTCTTTGTAATTCACAGATGCGCAAACTTGTGGCCAGAGTAGCTACACGCCGCGACCACGTGTCATACCACAGCTTGACAGACAGTGACATTGTCGAGGGTGATGACAAGGATGTTGTTTCCATGGATTTAGCAGAAAAAGAAGATGTAGAAGTAACAAGAATGCTTGCACTTGGTAACCGAGCTCTTTTCGACATGACAGTTCCAGAGACACCTGCAAGGTAGGTTCGATTTTCTTTATAACACTGTCAAAGAATTGTTCTTGGGGGTGGGGATTCAGAACAAATGTTGAGACGTATGGAGCAGGCTGAGGCTATTAAACAGAAGCTAGAATTCCAATTCTTCCAGATAAAGGATGAGCTAGGTATGGGCATGCGTTTCATCATACTTTTTTCTAGAGAAAACGCGGGTCAAGGTAAACTCGTTCAAAGACACAGAGGATGAGCTGAGGGCGGAGAATCGTGATTTGACCTCTCGCCTGAAGACCGAGCAGAAGCTAATGCACGAGTACAAAAGTCAGGCAAACACTTACAATCACTTGCTGCGTTCAGCTAGAGATCAAATGGATCGTGTTCTTTTTGACATCAACAAGCAGTTCGACAAAGAAAAAGCAAAACGAGAGGCTGAAAAGGCTGCAGCTGATGCGGAGAAGAACAAGACAGAGGAAGAAGCTAACAAGCAGAAAGTGGAAGAAAAGGTAATTCATGATACAGGCTGACTAATTTTTGCAGGATGATAAAGTCGAAGATGGCGCAAAACCTGAAGAGAAAGAGTGGGAAGTCGTTGACGCTGTCTGATCCTGGATACTGCATTTATTGTTAAGCGTTTGGCTACTCACTTTTCGTATGTACGTCATTTAATTAAAACTCAGTTTCGCCATGCACTTCAAATACACTGCATAAGTATTTTCAAACCCAGACTTTTGACAGCTCCACAGTGGTCTTGTTTCTAACAGGTTTCGTGGTATGTATATGGGTATGTTCCGAGTTAGGTAGGTGTTGGTTACCTCTGTACAGCTTGGGTCGACGCCGGGTAGCGTGCTGGGGATTATTATAATTATACTACACACTGAATTGATTCACCAAATGAAACAGTGAGGAAAATTAATCAAGTAATCGCCTTCTCCAATGCACTGCACTTGCAACAATCATGAGAACCACTTACATATGTTAGACAAGCCTAGCTAGCAGTTAGCTAAGCACACAGTGGCACAATCCTAATAAAGTTGAGATATTTTTTATACATTGAATCCACATAACCCATATAACACTGCACCAATCAGTGCAAATATATATTAAATTCACTTAGAGATAACCTTTCAACTTACGATAATTCCTGTCCAAACACAAACACGGTGAAAGGCACATCTACATGATAACTTCTTTTCCCACAGAAGGTTCCGTTAGCATTCACAGGTGATTTCCATGTGCTGATAGCATTCACATCTCAAATAGTACTGTTCTTCACACGAAAATACTGAGACGTGAAGTATTCATTAAGTGATACTATGCCGAAAGGTGCAGCTTCTACATGAAGTAAACTATTTGTGTAGATGACATTACTCTCCAACTGTCCCATTATGCTCAATATAGCGATATTTTGAAAAAGCCCACCTGAAACACTGATCATTGCAACCAATGTGCTAAGAGTGCTAAGTGCTAAGTGGACCTCATGACGTGGACATCAACATGACATGTCAGGAAATGAGAATTCCTATCAATCCGGAAAACACACAAGACAAATTTATCAGAAATTATTGACAAAAGACGTTTGCCGAGCGGAATTTCAACCAACATGCTGGATAAGTCCAGCCCGATTATTCAGTGGATATTATGGTACGCGACTGATGTCCTCCAACGTATATGTACTTTTTTGATGTCAGACGGCAAACGAACGATAAGCAAGGCAAAACAAGAGCGATATTCTACCCATTGAAACCAGAAGTATATTTGGACATTGTTATCGCCAAGTCGATATGCGTGCTTAGTTAACTGGGGATCACGCAAACCAGCTGAACGTGACGTGACAGTGCGGTAGGAGGAGGGCGATTGGCTGAGCGTCTTCAGCATAACGAGTCCACTAAAACATCGAAGTCATCACCTAACGTCGAATATCGATGTAGCCCTAATCTATTGATTTGTCAAAAGTCTCACTAAAAATATTCGTCGTTGGTATCTCCTGAGTCTGTACTTCCCAATATCCAATGAATCATCCACTTTTACCCCGTGAAATAGTACCCATCAGCATCATTTGAGAGCCTCTTCAGTTTTGAAAACTTGGATCGAGGGGATTAAAAACTGCCATGTATGCGTTGTGATAGGACACCTAGGCCACACCTAAAAGACTGGAAAACACCTCATCTATCAGAGTGTCTGATGGCCTGATTTTTATGAAGGAAGAAGTAAAACTTAGTCACCCTGAATTTGATCCCATATCATAGAAGCTTATTAGAAACAACACACAGTGATGCACTATTACGAAGTGCATGAAGTTCTTCATGGTTAACTAGCTACCGTAGGCAGCTTGTCTTTCGTGGTTTTGTGTCAGGAAAGTGGGTCGAAACGCCTCTTCGTAATATAGAAACAGATGGAAGTGACAAATTATTTTCGGTCGTGTCATAATCAACATATAAAGCACTGAACATTGAAACTGAGCACAGCTGGCAGTTTTTGTTTTAATCCTCGTGTCAATTCATCAGTTCCGTTGGCACAAACATGGCTAGTCGTTGGGGTCGTAATGGTAATGATTATTTCATATCTTTTTCTTATGTTTCCGTTTTTCCTCGCTGATACTAATTCTTAAAAATGTTTTCAGCACCTTATGGTGGTGGTGCAGGTGGTGGCAGTAGTGGCGGTGGTGGTTATATGGGTTCTGGGGTTGTAGGTGTGGGATTTTACATGGGCGGACCTTCGCCGAACGATCGCAGACCCTACAATGCTACACCTGTCGCTAAGCCTTTCTATGGTGGATATCGAGATGATAATTACAACAGACGGTCAGACCGACGAGATGATTTTCGCGGCGGTAAGCGTGGTCAGCCAAAAGGCCGTAGTCCAGAGAAACGTTATCATGATCCTGCATCTAACCAGCGTAAAGACCATAGACCTTTCGGGAAACGGCCATCGTCCTTCGCACGCTACGAGGTGAAGATTCCAAAAAGTCTTTTCAATATATCTTCGGCGTCACTGCCTGACCTTCGACACCGGTATCCTCGTTTAAACATATCAGCCGACTTCTACGAGTGCACGTCCTCATGGGTGGATTCGTTTCCCATGCACAATCCCTTTAAGCTGGGAAGTGGGACTGATTATCATGTAAGTTTCATCCTTATATTGTGATATGTCCGCCAGGTTTTCCATCGTGATGTTGATTCTCCCACTCAACCAGACTCCACTCTCCTGAACCCTCCCGATGCAGATTATTCCTACTCAGCGAGGGTCATGCTAATGGCATGCCCTCAACTCGGTGAGTTGTACAAGAATACTTGTAGTATGGCGGATGACGTCAGTGGAGCTGACAAGGTTCTACCTGATAAGAGCATACACTTTTTGGTTGGTGGTCGAGCGAAGAGTGAAACTATGGCTCTTGGTGGACCCTGGTCACCAAGCCTAGATGGACTCGATCCTCAGGGAGATCCAAGAACACTTATCAACACAGCTATCCGGACGTTCAAAGGCTTGACCGGACTAGATTTGTCTTCTTGCACAGAATGGTTAATTGATTTGAATTACCTATTCACACTTACTTTATAGGGTCAGATTTATGGAGATCAAGTACTATCGCATGCCTGATACGAAAGCTCCAGCTTTCACGGAAGCTGAGGAAGAAAGAGAAATAACTTCGGAGCGTCCTGAGGTCGTAGTATTCTTTATTCCGAATGCGGCCCACCTAATTCCTTCAGAAGAAGAATGGGCTAAGACTAAAGAGTACTACAATTCTGCGCTTCAGAAGCTGTTGACTGACGAGAAGGCTGAGCAGGACGGGGTGGTTGAACAGCAAGACGGCGAAACAAGTGCTATGGATGCCAGTATGGAGGAGTCTGAAGAGGCCGGCACACGATCAGATATGGAGCCGACCCATTATTCTAAGCTCGATGTAAATAGTCTGAAGGTAAGTAGTAACTCATCCATTCACACTCTCTTAGGTCAGTGACCTACGAAACGAGCTAGCAGCTAGAAAGTTGGATACTAAGGGTTTAAAGGTTAATCTAGTGGCCCGCTTACAGAGTGCTTTGGATGAGGAGAAGAAGGCAGATGCACCGGAAGAAATGAAGGTTGATGAGGATTCTAAAGGTAAGCACTGCCATATCTTGTGCTCCCTTCTGCATTAATTAAGAGTTGATAGGACCACAAGAACGGCTGTGGATGTTTTTATTGTGATAATTAACCAAACAAATGGTTACAAAACTCATATCGCCCTTCTTTCTGCTTGTATTCAGCCGAACAGACTCCGAATAAGATCGCTTCGCCGTCTGCGACGCAACCAAAGGATGATTCAAAGGACCTCTCTGAGAAAGAACGCCGGCGTTTGGAACGCCTCTATCGTCTTGGTGATAAGCCAGCCATCGTTATCCATCCAAACAAGTCAGCTAAGGGGGGTCGATTCGACTGTCATCGTGTTTCGTTGTTCTCTCTCCTCGACTATCGTACCGAAGATCAAAAAGAGCACAACTTTGAAGTATCCCTGTTCGCTGAACAGTTCCATGAAATGCTCCAGCGAGATGCAGCCTTCACAATTTTCAAGGCGATTCACGATGCGCCTGAGAAAGAAACTAAACCTGAACAGGATGGAAAGTACGACGATATTCTACGTAACGTAGATGTATTTAGGTCACAATTATTAATTAGTTGATCTGGCCTTCCTGATTGTCGTTGTCCAATAGCTGGCGCGTCATGAATGGATAGGCATAGATATTTATTGTTCATGTTTCGCCTTTATTTTTTTCTGCACATAACACAAGCTTTTATTTTGCAGGCTCGAAAACGGCATCGATTCTGACGAGCCTGATGCCAAAAGACGCAGAAATGACAGCCAAAATGGCCACGACGAAGAGGAGGAAGTCAAGGTGCGTCGCCTTAGGCGCACCGTGAACCCATCCCTCCTGTTTGCCTTCACCTACCTTGATGTGAGCCGCGCAGGGTATATACGCGAACATGATTTGTGCGAAATCCTCCACCTCCTCGGGCTAAGATATTCTCGTACTCAGGTGAGTTGACTTTATAATATACTAGTGACAGTGGTGTAAGCGTCATGTCATACTCGACTGTCACTGCCTTCATGTTCAGTCGCTGTGGCTGCTCTAGTCAGCAGTCGTTTGAATGCATGTCAAATCCCAGTTCTGATAGTTGCATTGTTATGCATGAAGTGCGGTCAAAACGGTGTGTAGCAAAGGGCGACACCTCGCGGGACGCCCAGCCAGCAAAGTCCATGGGAATTTCGTTCAGGTGGGCTAGGGCATACAGCTGGAGTACTGCTTTGTATTTGTATTGCATCCGGCTTGTGTAGGAAGATTTTGACTCCAAACAAGTTTTGCTTTTGCATTTTCACCAAACTTACCCTCACATGTGTCTTTGTAATTCACAGATGCGCAAACTTGTGGCCAGAGTAGCTACACGCCGCGACCACGTGTCATACCACAGCTTGACAGACAGTGACATTGTCGAGGGTGATGACAAGGATGTTGTTTCCATGGATTTAGCAGAAAAAGAAGATGTAGAAGTAACAAGAATGCTTGCACTTGGTAACCGAGCTCTTTTCGACATGACAGTTCCAGAGACACCTGCAAGGTAGGTTCGATTTTCTTTATAACACTGTCAAAGAATTGTTCTTGGGGGTGGGGATTCAGAACAAATGTTGAGACGTATGGAGCAGGCTGAGGCTATTAAACAGAAGCTAGAATTCCAATTCTTCCAGATAAAGGATGAGCTAGGTATGGGCATGCGTTTCATCATACTTTTTTCTAGAGAAAACGCGGGTCAAGGTAAACTCGTTCAAAGACACAGAGGATGAGCTGAGGGCGGAGAATCGTGATTTGACCTCTCGCCTGAAGACCGAGCAGAAGCTAATGCACGAGTACAAAAGTCAGGCAAACACTTACAATCACTTGCTGCGTTCAGCTAGAGATCAAATGGATCGTGTTCTTTTTGACATCAACAAGCAGTTCGACAAAGAAAAAGCAAAACGAGAGGCTGAAAAGGCTGCAGCTGATGCGGAGAAGAACAAGACAGAGGAAGAAGCTAACAAGCAGAAAGTGGAAGAAAAGGTAATTCATGATACAGGCTGACTAATTTTTGCAGGATGATAAAGTCGAAGATGGCGCAAAACCTGAAGAGAAAGAGTGGGAAGTCGTTGACGCTGTCTGATCCTGGATACTGCATTTATTGTTAAGCGTTTGGCTACTCACTTTTCGTATGTACGTCATTTAATTAAAACTCAGTTTCGCCATGCACTTCAAATACACTGCATAAGTATTTTCAAACCCAGACTTTTGACAGCTCCACAGTGGTCTTGTTTCTAACAGGTTTCGTGGTATGTATATGGGTATGTTCCGAGTTAGGTAGGTGTTGGTTACCTCTGTACAGCTTGGGTCGACGCCGGGTAGCGTGCTGAGTAATGAACCGGTGTTGCTTCGAATCAGTATAGCGTGGTTATATCATCAGTACCTTCGCTATTACGTGATTTTCCGTTCCTGTTTATTGTGAAAAGGTTCACACGGTCTCGAGCCTATCTAGGAACGCGTTTTTATTTGTAATTCCCCCATCTGTAGTTAGGGTTTGTCGCTTTTCAGGTCGAGGTGATGTGATTTTGTTACGGGAGATAGTGTCGTCGATGAAAATACAGTATTGGGCATTCTGGCTGCATGTCATTGGCACTTTAAAGCATATCATTCGTTTGTTGATATAATATGCTTGTGCTTGCGTGATGTTTCGTAAGCTCATCAATGTTATATATCACGCTTCAGTTGTACGTGTAGTTGGATAGCTTTTTTCCCAAATGCGCTGAGGGTGGTTGAATCGGTGCATATATGTGGTGTGTCCTGAATACCATTTCTTGTATATGCAAAGGAATGAAATAGTGGTCTATGCGTAAATTTTGGCTTAGTTAGTAGAAAGTCAGCTATATACGTTGCTCTGAGATTTTTTCCCTTTTCACTTAGGCACTGCATTGGATAACGAAGTATACTCGGCCTACCGTTGCTACCAATAATGACAGGCTGACCAAATTGTAAGGTCTGAACGCAGTAGAATTATCTTTCATTTACTAACGTTGAGTGTTTTTGCCTAATTGGGTACAGCATTGTTTGCAGGTATGCTCTTGTTTCCCGAGTCAGTCCACTGCATATGCTCATCTCTGATTGCATTTGAAAACATTTTTCTATTCAGTGTCAGGAGTGAAATCGTAGTTAGGTATGTACGACCTTGCGTTCGTCGTATGGCGTTTGCTGATTTATTTCTGTAATGTCATGAAGGGACCCTGTGATGTCATCAACCTTATGGATGTATACCTTCTAATATTTATTTGGTGGAATTCAGTAGTGTTAGTAATATACCAGCTGCTGTTCCAGTTGTTGGTAGATACGATATTGCGGTTGGCTTCATTCTCCGAGGGTCATAGAGACGAGCACAAATCCACTCTTCATTATACCCAAAATTCTCCTGAAACAGTTTGTCCGTTGCTGTGTTTTTATATATGTGCTGCTGCACTACTTAATCATTGTTCATTTTTTTTAATAAGCACATGTGGCCGGTTACATGCTTGTGTCAAGTTGAATCGAAATGATACTCAGGCTATTTGGGCGATCTTGTTTAGGCCTAGTTTAATGTTTATCCGTAGTTTTACAGTCTTGATGTTATAATCTCACTGCGAAGCACTGATTGTGAAGTATGGAATTTGTGTCACCTATCGAAAATTCTCAGTGTCTGCCATTTCGCTATTTTCATTTGCCTACTGAACATCACTCCTTATGCCATCGGTGGTAGGAGTTAATTTCATCACCATTTATTAACGCTAAAGCTGTTACTCGCGTTTTCATAGTAAGTAGCTGTCGCACTGAGAAGTGATGGAAACAATTTGATATATATATATATATATATATTTATATATATATAATTTGCTCATGCCTCAAGTGTCCTTTAAGTTTGAAGCAGAGAAAATTCATAGGCTAGTATGAATTCCAAAAGGGGTATTATATCATTTGTCAGTGGTGGTTGAGTGGCACCGGTCGACAACTGCCCCACCTTTCTTGTTTGTAAAACTATGCGTTAGTATACCTCGTATTTGTGCGAAAAGCATTCTCGGACTACTGTCCATGTACCTAATTTGTAAAAGTGAGTAGTAGTCAACGATTAATAGCCAAATTTTTAGTTACCTCCTGTTTGTCTCAAATGGGTTATCATCTTAGAACGGGTTATATTATTATTATTGTTCCCTTGAGTTCCGAGTGGAACATGGGGCTTCAACAACACTTCGTTCTACTTACTATCATTTTCTTCAGCGGGGTCCACGATTTCCTATATTATCTGACCCCCTCATCGCATGATTTTCTCCACGTGACCTTTCGAAGTTCCACTCGTTCTTTGCTAGTTTTGATGCCGTAGCGTGATATCATTGGACTTTCTCATTATCGCATATCCAATCCTTCTCCATTTCTCCCTGGTTTTTATTTAAAGGATGTTCTTTTTAGGTTGTTCCTGTCAGTTTTGGTTTCGATATTCTGATAGTGATATGATGTTAAATGTCGCACCTTCGAAGGCGGCATTTGATAAATATCTGAAAGCTGTTAGAAATCTTTTTCCTTATGCTGTATGTTAAATACCGGCTTCCCATACATTTTGGAATTTCGAACATTGTTTTACTGCTGCGGAATGCAGGAGATTTTCAAACTGGTCCCAGGTTGATGAAAACGTGTCTTGCCTTTCTGATTCCGCCTAGCTTTGTCATCTCCATCCGTACCGACTGACTGTGGTTGAAACCGTGCTTCTTGACTGGATAAGTGAAGGAAGTAAGATATGTCAAATCTCTCCCATTGATGGCAATTTGCGCTGGTTGTTGTTGCTGTTGATTGTTTATCACCCCCGTCTTTTCTATGCTTATCTGGAGTTCTGTCCTCGCTGCCTGCCTCTTCTACCAGTTTGTTGGTTTTCGAGTGTGTTACATTAATCATCCGCGAATTCCAGGTTATCGCGAGTCTTCTTATCTGTCCAGCGTTTTCTTGTCTTATCACTCCCCACAGTCGGACGTATAATACACTCACTCACAATCAGGAGTATGATAATTTAGCGAAAATATTTATTTAGACATCTATAAAACACAAAATAACTGAGCAAAGAATATCCTTTTCGATAAATTCCTCTTCTGGCTCTACGATTATATATATATTACAGTTCATTAATTCAACTGCGCTTGTGGAGCGAGTTATATTGGCCGTTGCCCTAGGAACTTTGATTTTTCGTGCTCGAGAACATATCCCACTATGGCTAAGCAAAGGTGTAGTTAAAACTATTAACAGCTCGATATTAGACCATCTGGTGAAAACCGGTCACAAAGCGAGCCAGCATAGAAGAATCCTTCTCTATAATATACCGGGTGACCAACAAATTACCAAAATCGTCGAAGTACCGCATGCTTCAAACAGCAGAGGCTATCGTAATTCGCTTCAAACAACCAGTGCTCTGTGTTCAAAAGAAACAAGTCCAGCTCCTACTACTGCCCTGGCCTGCAGTAGAAACTATAAACTCATGCATTTGTACTATTATCTTTCATAATTCTTCTGACATTCACCTTATTTATGTTGATGCTGTTCAGCTGTAATCTATCAATATTATTGATTTGGTGTTTTTTAAACATTAATGTCGTTCATAAGACTAATTCATTCATTCATTATAATGTATATATAATTGTAGAACCTGATGATGAATTTATCGAAAAGAGTACTCTTTGTTGCGTGTCCATTCTTTTGAAAATTTTAATGGGCATTTTTAATCAGTTTATAATAATAATAAAGATATAGTAGCAAAAAGAATATCAACTAAAATTAGGACATTCCACAAAAAATTCAGGATCATTCAAACCAGGATGGCCAAGGTAAGGATAATGACTGAACTAACTTCTTTGTGATGCACAAATTAGGCTTGTTAATATGGATCCCCACAGCCTCAGCAATATTTAGAAGTCGAACTCTTAAAGCGAAATTGAGATTTGTTGGTATGCGGCAAATGACTCTGAAAGCCTGGTTAACATCAATCTTGTGTTCTGCATCCACAAGATGAGACAGAATAGCGCTGCGAATAGATTTTGTTTGTCCTTTGCTTAACCACAGGGCCTTTGAAGGTTGTTATAAATGAACTTGAATTTTATTGTCGGTACATGGATGATACATTTTTGATTATGGAAAATGAGGTGGCAATTACACCCTGTATGGTTAAGCAAAGGGCAAACAAAATCTATTCGCAGCGCTATTCTGTCTCATCTTGTGGATACAGAACACAAGATTGACGTTAATCATGCTTTCAGGGTCATTTACGCATACCTACGAATCTCATTTTCGCTTTAAGAGTTCGACTTCTAAATATTGCTGAGGCTGTGGGGATCCATATTAACAAGCCTAATTTGTGCATCACAAAGAAGTTAGTTCAGTCATTATCCTTACCTTGGCCATCCTGGTTCGAATGATCCTGAATTTTTTGTGGAATGTCCTAATTTTAGTTGATATTCTATTTGCTACTATATTTTATTATTATTATTTGAGCATCTTTAATGAACTGTAATTGCATTGATCTTATTTTACGCATCGATATTATTTAAAAAACATTAATATTGTTATTGACTACTAATCTAGAATATTCTATGTATATAAACATATATAAACAGTATTCACTTTAAAAGCTTCGCTAAGTTTTCCGATACAGATCAACTCACATGTGGCATTTGTCATGTAGCTGTTGAATGAGGTTTGTAAAGATTTGGGGCGCGGCATGTTGTTGGAGTAGTTTCCAAATTGATATGGATATAAAATTTAGGCACTATGGTAAGGTTTTATTTTGATATATCACACGGTGTTGTACATAAATATTTACTGATGATGTTTCAAGCACAAATTATTGCTCATAATCATCAAGTCACGCACACAACTTTGCTTCATTTATATAAATGAGTGAAATTCATTAGACATTTGAATAAAATCAATACAAGGTAAAGTGCATCTTGAAATAATATTAGTGTTATCAATAAAATACAGTCAGATGGGAAATAAGATGTTTTCATAGTAAAATAAGTAACATATTAGAATGTTATAATTTGAACTGAATACATTTCAACATTACTTATTATCCTCTGATTTGACTGGTAATAATATCTTCAATATCTCTGGTATTTGTATGCATTTACTCGCAATAGGATGAGACAGAGTCAAAATTCTAAAGAGTAATAAAGGTAGTTGTAGAGAGAGATTGATTACTGAATCCTGGTTCATCGTGTCTACACCCAACACAACACATGCAACAGAAATAACTCTACGCAAATACCAGAGATATGGAAGAAATTATTACCAGTCAAATCAGAGGATAATAAATAGTGTTAAAATGTGTTCAAATAACATTATGGTATTCTAACAAGTTACTTA